TGCCATGAGTGATCTCTCATGCAAAAGAACATAGGCAGCTTGCAGATATTACTCATCGCAAAATACTATTATCCAGCAACCACTGTATGTCGAAGACACGCTGCACTTGTCTGTGGGGTTAACAGTGTAGATTATGCACTTGATGATGCATTTTACGTCAACTTCTTGGCAGAATGGATTGTAATACTTGAGTGTCATGTTTTTTTTTTATTGTGAACGGTAATTCTTTCTATGTCACAGAAAGTGCAGCAGGGCTGCCGTAGCCCTTTGTTCAAAGGAAGTAAAGCTAAGGTCACCGACTCTACGTTCTTTACAAGAACCAGTCCAACGCGCCAGCTTTGTATATCTGGGCGGCAACAGCCATTTCTATTTTTTATCGAAAGGAAGTATGGCTGTGTTTAATAAATGTTCGAACCTTTCGTTCGCCGCTAAACGGGCCGGGATGTGGTTTGAGCTCTCGATGATGCATCTGGACATTCTCAACCTCTTAGGAAGACAGAATAAGGAATACATTTCTTCCAAATGTAACATAGTGGAAACAGTAAATGAGCATGGGGATCATCGCTGCACTGAAAAAGCGCTAAGGTTTGAGGTAGATGCTGCCAAAACGAGACGAAGCGCAGCTGGAGTGGGATCCTGAAACTCTGCCCAGTTCTGGAAGTGGCTATTTATGTCTTTGAAGCACAAAGTGCTATCTCGTGGGAGTACCGCATTGCAAAACAGATATAATTCATGAAGTTCGTTCAAGAGGCGATACAATTGATGAAGGAGGACGTGAGGACAGCATGTTCAAATTTGGTCTTGCTGATGGAAAACCCGCACCATTGTACATTCATTGATCAATTCAAAATCTAATCTCGTTGAACAGCTGTGTGAAATTCTAGGTTGGATAAACCCGATTCTGAGGTGTATCAACAAGCGGTCTTAATGATATTGAAACTTAATTTGATAACGAGTGGAGTGAAGTATCCAGGAAACGACGCATTGCTTTCCGAGGGCTTAGTCGATAACGTCGAAGATTTTGTTAGAAATTCAACTTGTGACATTCTATTGCAAGTTTACAATCAAGAATTCGCAATCTACTAGAATCACAATTTTAGGCTCACGACAACATTGATGAAATGCTCAATAACATACTATCGGAAAAGGATATCGTGTAGTAAGTAATTTCGATCCAGTATGGAAAATATAACTGACCAGCAAACTTAGTCCATATGCATCGCTAATAAAGCGTCTTTCTCTTTCAAGCAATATCAGCTCGACCTCTTTTCCTGAGCAAGATACTAGCAGCAAAGCCGTTTCCCGCCATGGGGAATCTCTCGGGGAATTCAGGTCTTCTCCTTGCTCCGCCTCACTTTTTGTCACGTAGAAGTCTTGATCGGTTCCTTGCATATTACATTGCTTTCAACCCCTCAGAGGCGCAGCATAACACGTTTATTATAAGTCACCGTGTACCTTCTCAGACTCGACACTTTTCACAGATTTGTCGGCTAGCTCTTTATAGGAGCTCGACCCTTCCGATCTCCAGAGTGATAGGAAGGTAGATCCGCAGAGTTTCGATGAGCTTCTTCAAATCTACCATTCCGGCGTTGAACAGTAGCCAATAGATCATAAATGACGTTTAAGCGTTGGGTATCATTGTACAAGGCATTGGGAGTTAGCATCAGACCAAGATACGATCGGTCACGATTGCAATGAAGGCATGGGGGTGCTGCATAAATTTTACAATCGCTCGAGACTGCATAATCGCGTGAGGAGAACGTGACGACTTCACGACTTTATAATGGGAAGTAATTTTATCGCGGCGAAACTTCCAGATTAATTTGATGAGCTAGTTGTGGGTCTTCAGTTAATGGGATAGCAATGGAGGAGTCGCACCATTTAATGTTAGTTCTCATCAGTTCGATATTAGAATATGATATGGTCTCATCGAAAATGAAAAATGCGAAGAATATCACATTAACTGAAGGGAAGCAGAGCTGCTCAAATAATAAGAGAAGGTGCACAGAAGAAGGCTACGGATAATACGTTCTGCGCAAATGGGAATGCTGAAAAACTTTAAAGGTGGTCGAGGCAACGTTCGAAATGGTAGCGCTCCGCACAATAATGGCGAATGTCGGAGCAAGTGCTTTCATTGTGACCAATTTGGTAATATAAAGCGAAACCGTTCGGCCGAAAACCTGTCAGCAGTTTTTACGCGGAATTTGCCTGGGTGAAGGACGATCGGCAGGGTGGCTTATCGACCATGGCGCCACATCCAACATGACCCCGAACCGGGATGACTAGTAAGAAAACAAGGACTTTGAGTGATGCATCGAAGTGAATATTACATATGGCAAAAGCTGCTCGTCAAAAGAACCGGCAAAATAAAAATTTAGCGGTGTGGGTGGAAAGGTCACACGCATGAGGGATATTTGATTTCTTATATTCCAGGAATTGAAAGGAGATTTTTGCCGGTTGGCAAGTTTGAGGAAAGTCTCGAGATTATGCAGTTTTCGTGTGTCCTATGGGACAAAGAAAAAGGGGCGATTACATCGGGTTCAAGAAACAGTAAAGCGTACATGCCCCAATGTTAGCAACAAGAGTATGTTGATCGCGGAGTTTCCCAGAGCTAACACTCAGTGAGATCTTTGTATGCTCGCATAGGACACCCAAATAAAGTTATTTTCGACACATCTCTCGACAAAAGGCATCACGATGATTAAACAGACAACAGAAACATTCTGTACCGAGAGTTTAAAAAGTAAACCTACAGTCGCAGCATTTTCTTCCTGTTCGATGGCAAAGACGACACGCCTTCTGGATCACGTCCGCACAGATATAATGGGTTTAACGAGGGCTCTTTCGAAGGAAGGTGCAAACTATATCTAACGTTGATGGACAATTTTAACGAGATGCTCTTTGACCAAGAGTAAGAATGAATATCTGACACCTTCAAAAGTATAGAATTCTTTGCAAAAATCTATGGGGTTTCATATGCTTAACTTCCGATAATAGAACAGAATCAGCGAACAAAACGATGGTAGACGTGGGATGTCGAAGCGGCATCGTTCACCAACATTACGTTCCATATAGTTCTCAGCAAAAAGGGATGGCGGAGCGCATGACCAGGACTATAATGATTTAGGTCTCATAGTTCGCTATACCAAGAATATTTTACCTGAATGGTAGAAGGAAGCAGTGAAAGCAGCAATTGGTTAGATTAGTCGCTCGACGAATACAGCCCATTTCGACATCAAGTTACATAGGTTGCCTTTAAACTCGAATGGATCACTAACCTGCATTCAAATTGCGTTTTACGCTCATGTCATGTCGCAAAGACATTAATGCTCGAATACGAGGTTTCCAAATAAATACTTTTCTGCTGTGCGGATCACTTCAAGTATCATCGCGTGTGTGATTGACAAATGCAAAGCTTATTGTAACTCACTCCAAGAGGTTGGATAAGCGTGAACTAGGCGGAAATTACGACCTATATGTGCTACAAGCAGAAGCAACCTTCCAGGTTATGATGGTGATTACAGTCAAAATCAAGTGGATCGACAGTCACACTCATAGAAACTGTCGAAGAACCAGTCACTGATGTCGAAAACGACAATAATGAGCATGAGCAGAATCAAACATGGATACGAAAGCAAAGATGGAAAACTATCGCACAATTGGATAATGATGGGTCTCTGCCAAGAAGCATGATCAAAATGACACTGTTGTGTGGTACAAGCCACGACTTGACGCGAAGGGTTCCAAGTAAAATATGAAAGCCTTTTCCCTGGTCACCAACATGAATTCATTTCGAATGGGATATGCAGTGTGTACCGAACGCGACTGCCAAATGGGACAGCTGGATGTTGATACTGCTTTCCTAAACAATATGCTGTCAGACAACGTTGGATAGAAGTTTCGCTGGGTGTCTACAATGTTCAAAAATACGTTTGTCAATTTCAAAAAGCCTATATATGGGTTGATACAAGCAGCAAGTGGGCCCAATCGTCTAGTTGATCATGGCTCAAGATGATTTCCACGTTGAAGGATCTCGCATTAAGATTTTCATATACCGATTCTGAAGATTTATCAGGAGGATGGTAGACGTCGGACACAAGCGGCTAAAGATTCCCATGCCGACGACACAGAAGGACAGCCGTTATTGAAATATGTAAACTTTGAGGCAAGAACTAGTATCGGCGGAACGCGCTGACAAGCCACTCGGAAGACGTTGTTATCTTAAATCGAGTTGTAAGTATCATCGCAGAATAATAAAGCTCTAAGAAGGAGCGTCTTCCATCAAGAGAAGGCCACGTAGTGCTGATTGGGGTAGTCAGGGAATACTGTATGTGACGCTAGAATTTACTATAACAGAGGAAAGGAGTATAAATAGCCAAATACTCGCTTCAAACTTTTATTCGCACGAATTAGCCCAAAAAAGAGTCGCTCATACCTTTATTATACGTCTAGATACGTCTAGTTGAGTCTACCTTGACGCATTACCCTTGTTCAAGTGTACACGCGTCGTCCACTAGATCTAAATGTAACAATTGCCGCTATTTTGAACAAAAAGGTGTAAACAAGCTGAGAGCTTATAATATTGGTCCTCTCACAAGTAACCGGCTGTTTTGGTAATCATGTATGAAACTAAAAGCTATTGTTCTGAGAGACTTTGAGGCTTTTCCACTTTGTAGAACACATTAATATTTACCCGCCGTTTCCGCTTTCTGAAGTCATTAGTAGCTCTTGCAGGGGCGTCGTGCATATCTGTGCAATACATCATAGTAAAATGCGAAGGCCATGCTTTTGAGAGTGAATCGCTAGAGGTCGACAAATGACTAAAAGTTTTCGCAATCTTAATCTGTGTTTGAAAATGTTGAGCCACTTTATAGCTCATTTACAATGCGGAATTAAGGAAATTATTATCGTATAGCGCTTATCCAGTGTTCTCTTAAAAATGCATCATTTAATTGAAGAACACTTTGTCTCATGAATAAAGCATGACAGTTTTGTTACTAGAATTCGGATGCCGTTTTGTTACATGAACTAGTGGGATTTTTTACTACGTTCAAATGTGATCTGATGGGTTGTCTAAACTGATCTGAAGAGTACACACGACTATGATCCCGCAAGCCAGTATCATAGCACAAGGCAGAACGGTCGAATACTAATTTTAATGTTTCGCGACGACGGCAATAGCTATAAAGTCAGAAATTCTAACGAGCCGTCAAATAAATTTGAAGAACCTGATAACGTAAAATTCTCTTATGTCTTGAAACGAAAATCCAAGCACAGATTTATTTCAAAAATGACCCGTCTGAAACGTCGTGAGCCATGGATCAAATGGAAGTCGAAGAGGTCAGGTACCACGAAATTAAAACTTTGTGGAGCTTTGGATATTAATGAGCCCACATTTGCTTAAAAGCGAAAACACTTTAGCGCGTACACGGAGCTGTGGTAGCTTGCTGTTGGACGTGATTATGTCCAGCGATACTGTTAGTAGCATCGAAAAAAGCTCGGACGGCAAAAAAGTCTGTAAGCTACAGCTTCCGGAACAATATCAAATTTACATGGATAATAGCAACTAGGACCTTGTCCGTCGAGGGCTTCGGAACTTATCCTTGTTGGGACAGATAAAGATAGCTTTGACCTGGGACCTCTCAGAGCTTTTTCATTTAGAACGAAAGCCAATTCTATAAGCCGCGATTTCCAGATTTTGACCATGTTTTGATCGAATCGGGGCGGTGATTTATCGGAATAAATCTGTGAGTCACAAGTACAAAGACCAGGCCCTGATGTCGCTTAGGATGGTCGATTTTGTCACAATGAGCTGACAAATATGGGTGGGTAGCAGCCACCGAGTGATGTGCCCACCGTGCAAAACAAAACCACGGTTCAGTGCGATCGAATTATACACTTTTAACTGAAGTGACCCAGAAAATATAATCACCATTTTCTTCATTAGACACAAGCTCGTGTGGTGCCTAATATACTATCATTGGGGGAGTATGAAAGGATTGACAGCACATCATCATCACACAATTTATATTAATCTACTCCGAAGAGGAGATGGGCTCATCATCCTTCTCGAATGATAAGGAATTTGGCGACCGCTATATCTCGGATCCTTTCAAGTTCTGCAAGAAAAGTACATCTCTTATTTTACCAGACTCTGTAGTAGCTATGGTGTACATGGAAGACACTACCTGAAAGTGACCCACTCCTCGGTCATTTAGCAGTACGGCAAGAATCAACCCTCCCTTGGCTGGCTTTTTGTTGTCCAAGAGTCTCAGCATACAACCAAAACTAAGATAAGTCGAATCAGGAATACCCTCTGTGCTTCGCCATCGCATGACATACCCCCAGCATCTCTCACAGCCGCGTTGCTGTTCTGAAACTGAGGGTCGCTCAGCTACAGGAGATGCTCTGCCTACAACAGGCTACTCGCGTCTGACTAGCTTGTAAGAGCAGGGTAATGATATAGGCCCAGTAACCTTATGTAGAACACAGCATGTGCTCGAATTGTGATGAAATCTTTTAGGTATTAGATCAATCCCAATCCAATGTAGCGTGGTCGCAACTAAGTGTCAGATCGCAAACACCGCATGTACAGATGGCTTAACTGCGTGATAAAACCTGTTACCTTATGGCTTATCCAGAAAAGTTCTGAGACTCTGGCATCTGGAGAATGTCCATGGGAATCTTGGATTTCAGCCATGACGTCACACACACCCTGCGCTCGACGCTCAAATCATTAAGATAAAATTACTTGCTATGCTTCAAAGTATTGCCGGGCTGATATTTGACGATAAAAAATGCTTTGTGTGGTCTCTCCCACCACTAAAACTGCAGCCATTGTCGATGATACCTGGTGGATATTCAAATCCTAAAAAATCTTGTGAGATTGTAAAGGTATTTATTTCGATATCTAACGCAAAACTCGATGAATAAAAATGACAAAATTAAGCAGCGCGATTTCTCTCTGCAGGTGACTTGAAATATGTCTCAATTGATGGGATTCACCCGTTCCGTTTGACCATACATCTGTGAATAATCAGATGTTGACTTATCCAATTCGTGGGTTGGCACCTTGAACAATGATCAATTAAGGTTAACGGCTTAACGCAAATCTCTTTAAGATGCAATGACTTCCGACAAGCCGTATTGGCAAAAAGCTTTGTTGATGAACAGCGTGGCATCCCCACCGGCAACAGCATTGTTGACAGCTAGCTAGATGCACCTTCTTGCTCAGGCAGTCCACAAAGACCTTTTCTTCTCTAGCACAATGTCGATAATATCCGACACGTTATCTGCAAAATAGAAATAAAGTTCATTTTGATGGTCGGCCACTACTCTACCAGAACCGGCTGGCTGTCCAAATGCGCCGACTTATTCGATAAGGGTTCCACAACAAATTGTCACCGCTCCACATGCACATAGATGTGCTTACCGCCTTATACATGTTGAGTCAAAAAAAATTTAAGCTATGTAATTCTAGTAATTTTACAGTTCCAAATTCTTTTCAAGTAGTATTCTGCCGAAATCGGGTGGCATAATAAATTTTGAATCAATTTTGATTATTACACCAACTTAGTTGCAGGGATTCTCGTGGTTCCTGGTGCATGTAAAATATTGCAGCACTTCATCGCCTAGCTATGATTATAGCGGGTCGTATTTAATTGCTACGTCCAACTAAATTACGCATTGTTTGCCCTTCGCAGCAGCTTCTGGCCGCAAAGAGTCCGATGTGGCATCATATCCCAAGTCTCAGACGCCGGACCACTCTCGATATTGAGATCATGTGGTCGAAGACGTCCACAAATGGCTACTTCATTGTCAGCTATAGACAGGACAAAATAACTGTATTAGTTCTTTAGGCTAACATTTTACCACTAAGATGAATTTCAAAAAAAATGAAGGCGATGTTCTGTTATATCAGTGACAAGGTAAGCTGTGTTATTAAGCATAACCCATCACTAAATTTTGGTTTTGTGCTAATGGAATCAGTTTGCAAAACGCTTTGTAGATGCTTTGTACGCTTTTTCCCCGCTACGGAAGATAAATAGCTCCAAGTCCAGACGTCAGCTATTTGGTCGTTTTTTTTACTTTTGTTCATGATCATTGCCTCTTTGTGTTACTTCGGGGTGAGTCGCCAGCTGACTGTGTCTGTTCAAAACACATCAAACATAGTGTGCTATTGATCTTCAACGGTTCTCCGTGATTGTATGGCCAACAGACCCTCAACGACTAGCAAATAGTGCTACCGTAACATTTGTTTCGTCGCTAGATCGTTAATTTGCACTATGTTCAGGCGCAGTCGAAATGCAAATTGGTAGATTGAGGAGCAACGTGCAAAATCGTTCGACGCGCGGTCGTAGAATCTGGCTAGGAACCCACTGAGAGCTCCGAACACCTTGTAATAGAACTTTCTCCGTAAAGGAGATCGGTACCCAATATCTTGAAAGTAAAGCCACCACAATCGAATCACACCACTTGGCGAATCTCAGTTCGTTTTGTGCATGAACATGAGTTAATACTGATGCATGTAAATACAAGTATACCGACAGCATTGTTCTTCAACAGTATGAAATAACACTAGTCCTGAGAGCAACGGATGCCATTCGTAATTGCACTTAAAAACAAGATTCTTGGAACATCGATAAATACTGACATTTATTTTCAGCAATTCCATAAAGCCCGAAGCGGTAAAATCACAAGCCCCACTCTGGGTTGCGAGCTCAATCTCTCTTAAAGAGTCGCTTCTTTTTAAGGCTTAGACCCAATATGACTAAGTAATGAGTTTGTGTGTCTTGGAACGAAAAGAAAAATCTGTAATTATCTACAAGAAGATCGGCCGAAGACCTGCCTAATCGCTATCGTGCTTCACTCTTTCCTGGTCTACACCAGCCATCAAACTACACAGCCCCAATGCAGTCTAGTTGGACTTGCTGAGGCTAAAATGCACTAGCATGTATTTACATAACATCGTAATACTCATACTTTACATCAATTCCAACGTCAGCTTAAAGCGCAAATCGGACTCTGAATGAATGGATGAGTAAAACATTCTATGCCAAACGCAGGTATGATTGTAAGAGCAAACACGCTTCAACAGGTATGTATATAATATCTCCATCGTTTAAGCGGTAACATCTCTAAAGTGAATTTTTGCTTTGTATCATTGAGAGCTTTAGTCAGCTCCGATATAAGACCATCCGATGGCAGAGAGTAAAAAAGTTATTCGGAGCTCGCGATAGCATACTCGAAGGATGCACTATAGAAATTCTGAGAATTTATAAATCTGAGATTTGCTGTACCGAGAAGACCAAATGCCGCCTCCAGTGATGCTTATGCTGCCAGGATTTTTCTGTTAGGAAGAAATTTCGGAATACCGAGCATGAAACAAGTCCATCGTGGGTAACAACATGGTGGATGCTTTTTTCTATCTTATGTACCAGGGGGCTTTCCAATACATTAGGAGCCAGTAATGATACGAAGATAAATTTGCTGTTCTTTGCTGTGGGAATAATACTTGTATTTTTGGACTTGAAGTCTAAGCAAATCAACAGGCGTCGCTGGACAGATAACAAAGTAAGGCCAGTGGATCCATAACGTTGATAGAGAGTAGTATCTAAAACGGGGGTTTCTGCCTCATGAGTGCTTTACATGAGTGCTTTTGATTAAGCAGAAGACCAAAAACGCTACCTTTTTGCTAAGCAACGCCAGTCACTACGCTAGAAAAAAACATTTTTGTCGGTACTCACGTTCGGTTGGCCATCGAGTCATCTAGCCAATATTCAGCATGGGCATCTATTCTCCAGATTGTTGTATATCACGTTAAGAGAGGCCAGGATGAACGATCCACAGTTTCAATTGATTGAAGCCTCCACGTTCACCACTTTACTCTCTACAACTGATTCAAAGCCATTTCTGCTCTCCGTACCATGACAATTTTTAAATTAATACTCATGATGAAAACACACTTTAACAACGGATCTTATAGCTCAATAGTAGAGATACAAGTCAAATATCTCCGAAACATTTTAGAGAAAAAGAGTTGCAGCTGTCAGAATGATAACCTAATATTCATTCAACTACATTCTTGAATGTCACTACTGTAACACACTACGAAAAAAACATGCCGAAAAATGCACTTGGGGTCGCACTAGCAATTATGGGTACGGCAGAACTCGTTTTGGGAATGAAGATTATCCACGATGGGTCAGTTTAAACTCGTATGACGAAGCAGACATGCTGCACGACAACGTAGCTTGGCGATTTGTTCGACAACGTGCCAAGAGTGTGGATAATCCGAATGCAGGAGGATTAAAAATGGCGACAATGCAGTCGTCTAAAACGGATGGGGGTCGTTTGCTGATGCGGTCGAGCCCGTATCAATCCTGATAGATTATCCGCTGTACATACAACCCGCTTGATGCATAACTGATAACACAGCTGTCATATTTTCTGGATAAGTGAACTATATAACTATATTTAGGCATTCGTGTGCTATGCAACTTGAAAGTTACTCGCCAAACTGGTGTCGTCTACCAAAACAGTGGTAACACTGCGGTTGAGGTAAATCTAGACGTTAGTGAAGCAAAAAAAACGATCACAGACGTCTAATTTTAGGAGTTATAGTCATGATCGCAAGTGCACCTGTGGTGTAGAAGTTAAAATACCAGTGTACCTTTGCACTCAGCTCGGTAGAGGCTGAGCATTTAAGTCAGCGCAATCAAAACGTTCTTTGGACATGTGCGATGGTTAATAAAAGAATATTTTCTTAGACAACTAAGGGGAATTGATTATGCAAAAGCGCAAGATACCATGCTTGGACAAAGAACCTTGACATTGGGTACCAATATTTCTTTGAGAATGCGCAAGAAGGGATCTCGGAGGTTGATAACTCGGATACGAAGCATCAGATTGCAGCCAAGCTGACAAAGGCACTCGGCTCTTCAAGTTTATACGCGAGGCAGCGGGATTCAAGACCAAGCCAATACCAAGAAGAGATGAGGACAAAGGGCGAGTGAGAATGTTGAGATGACGCCGAGCAACCTTGCAGCTATATGTCAATTACATGCAATTTTTAGTTTAGTTTGCACTAAAACGATTTCAAGTTAGCATGTGATTAAGGTTTGGTGGATCCACGTTCTGGGCTGTGGGAACGAATTGTTAAATCAAAGTTAAAGCACACGCTTGTCAACCTCACCGTGAAGTTCTAGACAGATAGTTATCCACTTGTCACAGATCAGATTATACATTGTTGCGGCAGATTAACTCTGTATATATATGGCAGCATTAGGACGACTACGTTGGAAAATTAGATTTTTTACTTATGATGCATCACCATCAATTCACGCAAAGCAAAACGGGCAACAGAATGGTGAATTGTAAGATTTTTCTCATTATACCCTACGAAAAGGGTCTGTATAAGAAGAATGATGTATACTTTAGCGGTGTGTTTAATGTATCCGTCTATGAATAGCTCTCGCTTATACATCACGCCATACCAGTTTTTAGTTACGATTAACCCTCATATGAAAATCTTACACAGATGTTAACCTCGTGTCGACGACGCAGGCAAAAACATTGTTTTATATCGTGAACTACGATAATATTCCTCGGTCTCAAAGTACGTTGGAGGCTTTTGCATGCCAGATATGAAATTGCCAATAGTTTTTTCATTGGTGGCAGGTTATGACATACCCAATGAAGATTTCAAGAATCTAGTCGCGCGATTCTTGATAAAAGTTGGAAACCACACTCTCTGCAATGTTGTTTAAATTGCGTAACACAATGTTTATATATGAAAGACAAACAGAATTGTCAGCCAGCCAGCTCCGTTGCATGTTAAAATATACTAGGCCAGACTCGTTTCGGATGCTATTATCGCGCACGCGGAGGCAGTAATGGAAGTAAAGACTTGACAAAACCCGAGATAAGTTTTGCTGTAATGAGCTGAATTCTACGTGATAATTGACGGCAAGAAATGAGATTTGACGCGCCTTCATATCAAGATTACTTGTAGGTTACGCCTTGATAAAGACCTGACTTGAAAATCCAGCATTATCTCGATCCAAAGATATCGAGTATAAATGATAGAGCAATTTGACCACGCTCATACCAAATAGTTTATATATGGGCTTTGCCCCGCGACATCCCATCGTTTTATCATAAAAGTAGTGCTTGTAGCTTCCATAGGTTTCACGTCTTAGAGAAGGATTTTTCATATCAACGCTAAAACATGTCAGTAATATTATTGTTGAAGCATAAACTAGAATACAATAAATAAGTGAAAAAGAGCATATAAAGACAGAGTTCTTCCATGGGCGTCTAGATTAACCACGATATATATAGGATTGTGAATCCGAAGGCGTAGTCAAATGCTAACACTATGAAAATTGCTAAACCACCGTTATTAATATTCATGCAAATGATCTACAGACGAGACATTTTCAACAAAGCACCATATAGCGAGGGTGATCGTCTGACATGGCGCAACATGTGCGTTTAAATTTGTGACGACCTGTCAAGAGACGCAAGAATGGCCAGAATGTGTCCAAGGTTGCAAACTTTCATCGATACGATGGCAGCTTTCCTTCGTTTGAAGGCGGTAAGGGCTACTGTCGTCATGTAGGGTCTTCAGACAGCAGCGGCTTGCATCGACATCGCTTACGTCTCCCTATTTCTTTTTGAGAATGCGGAGGGTGTTGCACATATAGAGAGTACAATTTCTGTGTCGTGAGAGTTGGATGATCAACAAACTCCACTAGAGCGGCTAAAACGATGTATTTCATCTTTGCTGAGGGCAAAAATGAGTTCGTTCAGCTACCAGATAGCCTCGGATACACCCATAACACCTCTTATCTTACTTCAAGTTGAAATGCACGAAATTTTAGGTTCCCAGGCAACGTCGTCCAGCAGTATCTCGCTCAGAAACGTAAGCGCAGGGTGGATACTAGAAAAAACAATTTTTATGGATCATGGCGGTCGAGGTTGAGTATACAAAATCAATTAAATCCTAAAAATAAAATATTTATTTTATTATTTTTTCTTGAACGATATAAAATCTTTAGAAAATGATTAATTTTGTATAGTATTTTTTATTTTTGATTGTACATCTAATTTTTTGTAATTTAAATTTGAATGAGATTCAAATAAATCTTGTTCTTGATTTTTTTAAGAGAGAATAAAAAAAATGCCCCAACTTTTGCCATATATAAAAAAAA